TGACGTTTGAACGTAATTATTTGTTTACCATTAAAATCCCTCAACCTGCGCTCATGATTGTAGTATTGGTATCAAAAACTGGTATGCCGCACATCAAAAATCAGTATGAGGCGGCACGGTCAATCATTCTCGATCACCCTGTATTTTCAGAACATAACTTAATATTTTAAACCTAAGTACCTGAATAAATTTATTTCATTCAATTTAGGCAATATTTTTACATATCAGCAACACAGGGCCCACATCCGACGAATCAAGATCCCGCCCACCTAGGGTAAAGCAGAGCAACCTTTAAATTGAATACCTGAGAAGATATGCAATTATTGACTAGTATCTCTCTATTTCTCACTAATTTTGTATTCAATTTATCTAGATGAGTGTACCTGATAAGAGCATTATGATTTGTGAAGTAAATTAACTGTTTGTGCATTTATTTTTTCCGGACATTTAAAAATTGTGTTGCCCTACTCTCCCCCTATCACACTTACCGGCAGGATTTAACATTTTTTATGTCTACTATAAGTATGAAAAGAACAGGGTGTAATTTTGAGTGAGGAGTCATATTTAACACATATTAAACACATATTTTATTTTATTTTTTCAAATTGTGTCGTGAAAACTAATTTTTTTAGCCTTTTTTTAGTAATTGTCAACCCGTTGCTGACAAATACCCTTAAATAAAAGCACGTCTTGTTCCCCGTGCAACATTAGTGTATTGACGTTCATAGCTCTCATATAACCGATCTGACAAATATTTTCTTACTATTATTATTACCCTTAAAAAACTAATTCACACTTAAAGGGGGTGCGTGTGCGTCTGTGTGTGCGTGTGTGTGCGCGTGTGTGTGTGCGTGTGTGTGTGCGTGTGTGTGTGTGTGTGTCTGGGTGTGTGTGTGTGTGCGTGTGTGTGTGCGTGTGTGTGTGCGTGTGTGTGTGCGTGGGTGTGTGCGTGCGTGTGTGTGTGTGCGTGTGTGTGTGTGTGTCTGTGTGTGTGTGCGTGTGCGTGTGTTTTGAAATGGCACTGGTTCATCACCAAATAGCCAGTTTTCAAAATTTTGTGCATAAAGGATTTTTTTAGCTACCTATGTAAGTCTACAATCTGACAATGAATAATATTAAATTCTCATATCCTTCCAGTAGGTAAGTGCATATTAATGGCTTAAAATCCTAAAAATGTTGGTCGGTAAATTAGTAATTACTAGAGATGCCATATTTTAATATTTGAATTTTTTCTTATATTTTTAACCAGTGCCGGAGGCACAATGGGAAAATAGTAACATGTCAAAAAGATTAAAACAGATTTTGGGTTATTTCAGTAATCCATATTGGTTTTAATTAAGTCTGAACATCTTAAGCAACGAATGAATTACGATCGTTGGTAGAGTTATTCGGTCAATCTATGATAAATTGAAAAATATGAACACAGCATATACAGGGTGATTCAGAACTTATGCAAATATAAAAAAATTTGAATGTACAGGGGACTTACAAATGCAATTTTGTAAAAGAAAATTGAAAAGGGCAGTTCAAAAATGATATCAAGATACACTTCTGCACGACACCAGAAACTGGTCCACTGTAAACCTGACCTAGCACAAGGCAAAGCATGCAATGGGCAAAAAAATTGAAAGAATTTCTTTCCCAAGGCAAGAAATAAATACAATTTTATAACACCTATTTTATATCAGCAAATTCAAACGCTTTTGCCGCTATTGGTTATTATTAGTTAATTAAATTTATTTGTTTTTTAATTAATAACATAATTTGACATACCTGATGTTACAACGACTGTTCAAAATTAGGATCATCGATGTGTAAACACATTTGGGCCCGTCTTACCCAGTTTCTATGAATTAACACAAATGTTATCTTGCTTCACAATAATAATAATAATAATAATAATAATAATCTTTATTTTCAAGAACAGTCACATAGATCCAGTAACATTAGTGAAAATAACGTCAACAGAGCTTTACTATTACAGCACTAACAACTTTATATAACTATCCATATAGAAAAAAGAAATACCTATATAATAGATTTCAGAGATAAATTCATCCTTACAATCTATTATTATTAAAATACTCAACTACATTATATGGTTCCAGATCTATTAATAAATTAAAAATTTTCTTTTTGGAAATTATTATATCTGTAATTATTCTTATATCAGCAAGCAATTTATTATACATTTTAATACAATTATAAAAGGCACCTTTTTCTGTAACTGTCAATCTGTGTATCGGATAGGAATAATCCTCAGTTCTGGTTTGATAGTTACGTTCTGAAGACATTTTCTATAATCCTCATTGAATAAATTACATTATTAAGTCGCATAACAACATGTTCGACATGGTCTTTAAAATTTAGCAGTGTCTATATAAATAACAAGAAACTTAGTACTATGAGTTAAATTTAATTGGTGATATTGTAAAATTAATATTTTGCAGTGGCGGTTTTACCATAAGAGCTGCGGAGCTGCAGAACACAAAATTTTATGTATTTAATCATATTAAATATCAACAAAATATTTAAAGAATCCAAATGTACTCGCGCTAAAATAAATCTAGGAGCTTATATTATTATTTATTACGACGCGAGCTACGCTCCTTAATATATGCAACTTCATATACAAAATGTGTGTACAGCGAACAGTTATATGCGTCCTTTGTTTTTATTGGCTAATCAGGCTCGTGATGTCGTGACCCACGTCACTTTTATATGGGCTATATATGGTTTATTTCTGCGAGCGGCACGTGTGAATATTTTCGTTTAGGCGTCTACGGATGTTATAGTTATTAAAATGAATAGTGTTTCGTTTTTACAAAAAACTTTATTTGGTTCTCTGCGTTATGAGGATAAACTAAATATAAAAGAATTAAATTAAATTATTAATTAATAATTAATTAATTAATTATTAATAAATTCAATTCAATTAAATATTGAAGTTAGTGGAACAAACCGAAGTAAGTTATAAAAGACAATTTAACAATAATGTATACACAAAAGCAGAGTGGGTGTGCGGGTGTGATATAAAAAATACACTGTTTTGTTTTCCGTGCTTACTTTTCGGTGGGGATAAAGCATGGACAATATACAGTGTGAAAGATTTAAGTCATTTAAGTCATTAGGTAAAATAAACATAAGAAGTCAGTTAGATTCTGCATATATTGGGATAATATACGGAAACACAATGAACAGGTAACGAAGAATTGTTATGTATTATCTAATATCATAGATTGCAAAAAATTTTGCGTAGCTTTCGAATTAGAACTTCGCGGATATGATGAGACAGAAAATTCGGACAACTCTGATGTGTTTCGTGGACTCATAAATTTAGTGCAGATCTTGACGACATATTAAAAGAACATGGGTATGACTGGGATTTCCTGTGATTGTACCGGGAATTAGCCGTATGGTCCCGGATTTCGGATTTGCACGTATAACTCCCGGAATATAATATAATGTACATATATATAAAAAAAGATAAAGGAAAAATCATAACACGCCGAGGAAAATTAAAAATCGTTGAATCGTTGGTAAACTTCACAAACGATTTTTTTGTTTTTAAATTATATTCAATAATTTAATAAAATATATTTAGTTTATTCCAATTTATTTATACCGTCAGTAGGTAATTCGTGAATAGATATTTCAAAAAGGTATCAATTTCAAAAATCGTTGTGAAAATCTGTATTTTTGTATAAATGCATTGTTCCTTGAAATTCAGAAGTGCCAGGAAAACGCGTGACCCTGAAAATTTTTAAATTTTTCACCTGCGGCGCCATTTACAGGCTCTCCGGGCACTTAATATCCCGGAATTCAATTCAACAAATGTAACAATCCTAAGCAGAACACATTCAATCAATGTTTACGCGCCACCACTGCATTGTTTCATATTGAGCATGTGTGGTTTTAAATTGTCCTTATTTAAGATTTGTTTATTTTTAGTGAACCATTTATTTGTTTCAGATAATATATTATCTGCATCTTCCAATAGCGGAGTAAAGCTCACCCTGCTCATAATTATATTAGTATCATCTGCATAATTCACAATATCACACTTTCTATTTATGTTTATTACTTCGTTCAGGTCATTTATATATATTATGAACAAAAGAGGGCCAATAGTACTTCCCTGCGGTACACCCAATGTCATTTCAACATCAGATCTTGCACTTTGTCCATCTTTACATAGGGTCACTGTCTGCTTTCGACTAGATAGGTACGATTTTATCCAATCTAGAGCGGAATCACGAATGCCATATCTACACAGTTTTTCATTTAATATATTATGGTCAAGACAGTCATACGCTTTTGGTAAGTCAATAAAAATGCCCATAGGAATCTCTCTTTTTTCTAGTGAATCCAGTATTATGTTAATTAATTGAAATACTGCTGTTTGAGTAGATTTGCCTTTTTGGTATCCATGTTGATTTTTAATAAACAAATTTTCTGCAGTCATATTTAACAATTCTGTCATTCATAACTAATTCAAAGAGTTTCGAAAAACTGGGTAACAAACTAATTGGTCGAAAATTTTCAAATTTTGTGTGATCACCTTTTTTGTGTAAAGGTCTAATTAGAGCAATTTTCAATTCGTCAGGAAAGATACCGAATTTTAAAGAATTATTAATGATATAAATCATAATTGATGCTATTTGACTCGTACATGATTTAACAATTTTTGTAGGTATTTCATCTACTCCGCTGGACATTTTATTTTTAAATTTTTTTTGATATTTCTAATAGTTCTGTAACTGTTACTTATTTTAAATGTATGACATTTTCGTTATATTTAATTTTATGAGTAAAAGGAATATGACATTGGTTTTGAATAATTTCATTCACATAATTTACTAATTCAATTTCAATAGGTCGGTATGTTTGAATAACATTTCCTCTAATATCTCGTAAACATTTCTTTAAATTTTTTGAAAGGAGAATTTTAAAATGTTCCTTGGAATTACTACAGATAAAAATTTGTTACTTATTTTTAGGCCTGCGTGAAAGGAGTGTTCCATTGCGTCGTTTATGTTCAGGAGGAGGTAAGTTGAAAATAGATATCGGCGTATTTTACCAGTGTACTAAATTTTGAATTCGATAGTAGTCCACCGATTAGTTGTTTCCCCCAATATCATTAGTTAGTATACTTTTGTTTCATTGCTAAGTTACATTTCTGACAATGATATATTAAAAGTGGATTCAGTCATTTCTCCGTTTCATTCATAAAGTTTTGTGGTTTTATTGAAACTTCAAATTAAATTTATAATTTAACACATTACCAATTTCAGAACTTTTTACCGGCTTGTAAAAATAAATATGATTTTTTAAATATTGACACATATTTTCCATAAACTTTTTTCCACTGTTTTAACTGGCATAATTATTTTAGGTCCTCCCAGTAACAAGAGAAATAAATGTCTAGGTAAGTAATACTACTAAATGTTTCAAATATCTCCTATTTTTTTATGCCACCTCAAAATCTATTTTATTCTTATATTCCAGCGAGTTTTCAAAGTTACTCTGCGTCCACTACAAGTAAGTAACATTACTTTGATTTTCCAGTAACTTTAATAAATAAATGTACATTCATAATTTTAAGTAATATTAATTTTTTCACCTCAACAAAGTAAACTAGGTTTATTAATTTTTGTTTTTTTCGATTTTTCTTGCTGTATATGTATGTCTGCAACTGACAACGAATAATATATTCTCATATCCTTCAAGTAGATAAGTGCATATTAATTAGAATCCTAAGAATATCGTGGTAAATTACTGATTATTAGAGATGCCATATTTTAAATTTCTTTAAAAGACATACTTTGTTGTAATAAAAACTTACCTGGATCGAGATAACTTTCACTATTTTTTTTTTATTTTTATCTAGCACCGGAGGCACAACATGTAAGTAGTAACATGTCAAAAAGATTAAAACAGATTTTGGATTATTTCAGTAATCCGTTAGTTTTAACTAAGTCTGATTATCTCAACCAATGTATGCATTACAATCGTTGGTCAATCTATGATAAATTAAAACATGAACACAGCATCTATACAGTGGAACAATAAAATAGTGCTGTATTCAATTTATTATGAAGATATCCCGATCACGTGACTTGTAAACATTTATGAAGACTGTATAAAATAATGTTACCTCTTTGAATTCAAATTTATTCCTTGAATTTATAAATCTGTAATGTTTTGATAGTTTTTTGTAAACATTTATCACTAAAACAAAATGCTTATAGTAAGTACATTATAGGTACCAACTGCAACATTATTAAAACTATATCGACTATTTCACAACAATCACATTTTTTTTAAAATGTTTTGAAAAGAAAATTTTATTGTGTTTCCCTGCTTGGAATCACTACAGATAACAATTTGTTACTTATTTTTAGACTTTCGTGAAATGAACGCCCCATGGCGTCGTACATCTTCGGAACAAGGTAAGCTGAATATGAATATGAGCATACTAAATATTGAATTCAATAGTGGTTGGGATTTTAATCCACAGATTAATTGTTTTCCGCAATATCATTAGTTAGTATACTTTTGTATAGTTGAATCTGTAAGGGAGCAGTGATGAGCAAATGACTTGAAATCATTTAAAAAATGAGTAACTACTAAATTTCAAAAGGGGTGAAACGGGACCGTTTTTTAAAATTATTGCTGTCAATGCAAAGAAAAATATTCATAACTAGAAAGTAAATAGATTGAGATACTTTCAAAATACTTAAAATTATATATTTCCATTCCACAATTATTACTTTTTACCCAATATGCATAAATAAATGCAATGTTGCAACAGAAACTTGGCAACAGCGCACGAGTATGCTGAGTTTATTATTTGTAAGTTGTCAGCCTTTGTCATGTATATGGGTAATGGGTATACAATTATGTTAGGTGATCACTTGTTCAACTGATTGCTTTGCTTTAACCTATAAAATGTCGGTAGAAAGGAAAATTTGTGACTATAAGAAAATATGAGTGATTGAGAATTAGAACAGAAAATGGTAAAAGCAGGAAAAAAGATGTTGAAGAGAAGATTGTGGAGCCAGAACCTCGGCACATCGTTCCGAGGACATCAACTTAATCTACATGAAGTACATGGAACAAAGCATGCACTGCTCTTTTTGCAAAAAACTTTTAGGTATTTTAGAATTTTTAGATTGTCTACAAAGATCACGAAGTGATTAGCCTGGAAAAGTTTAAATATGATTTAGTTACATGCATAAGTAGCACTGCTACTACGATGCACTTCTGTGAATACAAATGTTCCATATAAGACAAGGGTTTAAAGCGATTGCATTTATGAAAGTTTAATACAGTGTGATATATGTAGTATTGTACTGTGATGCGATGTTCTTCTCAAAAATATTCTAAAAATTATACTGAAATTATTATGTTAATATTAAAATGAGAAATGATATTAAAAATGTCATAATTTATCAAAATTCATAAGATTGTTATACAGTGTGACCCATTTGAAACCGGGACACCCTCAATTTTTATTTGCAGGGCGATTTTGACCAACTATTATTTGAATTGTAGAGAGGCAAAAAGTATAATTTAGAACCAAGTATCATCCTTTTTGTATAAAAACCAATGACTACCAGATAATTTTTGGAGGGTCAAAATTGAAGAAACTATATTGGCGATTTTTTTTTAGAAAAAATCTAAGTATGCCAGTGAATTAAGCGCCCTTAAAATGGGCTTGTACCAAATTTCATAAAAAATATTGCATATTAATAATTCTGTGGCAGAATTAAAAATCACATTATTATGAATTTTTTTCGTCTGACGAAGCAAGCCATGGAATAAAACGTCCTCCTATTGAATGGCCGCCAAGATCACCTGACTTGACGCCACTCGACTTTTTCCTTTGAGGCATCCTTAAATAAAAAGTGTATAAGTCAAGACCACAGTCGGTAAAAGAATTACGCGCTAGAATAACTGGAGCTTGTGCAAATATTACCCCAGAACAACTGAGAAAAGTAACCAAAACATAGGAAAAAGGTATAAGTGCCTTGAAATAAACGGCAGATTGGTGGCGGTAACAAGAATTTAATTAATAATTCTTCTCTTCTGAAACTTCAATAATTTTGTTGAATATTGTTGTGAATAAAAATAATTATTGTCATTTATTTTTGACGTTTTATTCCATGGCTTGCTTCGTCAGACGAAAAAAATTCATAACAATGTGATTTTTAATTTTGCCATAGAATTATTAATATGCAATATTTTTTTATGAAATTTGGTATAAGCCCATTTTAAGGGGCGCTTAATTCACTGGCATACTTAGATTTTTTCTAAAAAAAATCGCTAATATGGTTTCTTCAATTTTTACCACCCAAAAATGATCTGGTAGGCGTTGGTTTTTGTATAAAGAGGATGACACTTAGTCCTAAAGTACACTTTTCTCCTCTGTACAATTCAGAATAAAGTTGGTCAAAATCGCCCTGTAAATAAAAATTTTATAAGGGTGTCCCGGTTTCAAATGGGTCACTCTGTATGTACCGTGATGCAAATAACAAATAATAACACAAGTTGAATGTAATCAATTTCTAATGACTAATTTGTGTATCGAAACGTTTATATAAATTTCCCGCCACCTATCCTCATTCATACATTGCACTGTTGCCGTTTATTACTTAGTGGACATCTTTTAAAAGCATTTCCAATATAATATTTTTTTGAGCTTGTTTTGATGTTTAAATACCTATTGTGCATTAAAAAGTCCCACCTAAATTAATGTTTATTTTTTAATGCACAAAATTTATATTTCAGGTATGGAATTGGATTCAGGAGAAAAACCTGTGGAGTTTACGGCCAATCATCCGTTCTTGGTCTTCTTGCAGGTGGAGATCGACAATGCCGTTTTCATACTTTTTGAGGGTTGTGTTTTTAGACCCAGTGTTTAATCAGGACGTGTACAGGATGTGACTAAAACATAAAACTTTAATGATGGATTCTATGTTATAAACTAATTAAAAAAAGTTCTACATTTGTTTATAGTTAACATATAATAAGAACACATTTTTTATAATCTTTAGTGTTCTATCGGAGTAGGGAGTCCAATTCTAAATATTTAGGAAGGAAAAAATCACAAATGAAAATTATTCACTATACTCCACAAAGTACACCCATATATTAAAAAAACCGTCTCATAAGTTACAGCCAAGTACATACCAAATTTGAATAAAAGTGCCTCAGTCGTTTTCTTGTAATTAAAATTTTTTTTCTTTTTTTTCGTTAATGTAAAATATTATCTAGAATCCATTACTAAAAGTTTGGCATTTTAGTTATATACTATAAAATTACCTATGCTACATGGTTTATGCTTAATATGACTATGATTTTTATAAATGCTTTTTTAAAGAAAATTTATTCATAGTAAGTTATGCAGGGTATTTCAGGATTAATTTTTTCAGTTATAATTTGAATTTGGACGATCAATATAAGAAAAACAAAATTTATATGTCTGAAGAGGCTGCATTTTCTGGGCTGTGGGTGTTAAATCGGAAAATGAGATGGAATTTGGCTTAACAACTTATGTAAGTAGAGGTAAAAATTCACTGAATCATATTTAAACAGGGGCGTCACCAGAAAATGGGCTAAGGGGGGGCAAGATAAGAGAGAGAGAGGATGGGAGAAATGTAAATTATAGATAGAAATAGGCACAGTGAATTAATTTTATTTAGAAATATTTTTAATAAAACCTTTTTAAAATACAAGAAAAACAAGAAAATATAAATAACTAAAAATATAAATAAATTCAACGAAAATTAGGTAAAACATAATCTGATTTTTTGAAAATTTGTCGACCACTTTATTAATAAAATCTTCATGGTTATCAAAAATAAGCGATAGACCAATAATAAAAATATTAAGTCTATGTTTGCAGTTTATCTATAGGTAATTTAAAAACAATTAAATAAAATTTAAAGATCGAATAATAACCTTCACAATTCAAGTTTAAAACTATAATATTGAAAATATATAAATTTCTTAAACTTATGGGTAAACCTACAAAATTAAGAACGTTTTCCATTCCCCCTATATAAAATTGGTACGTGGTCACATTGTTATTATTTTGGCCACCCGTACAAATACAAATTTTAAGTTTTGCGAATTAATCCTAAAACGACCTGTTATTAGATATATTTTATATAACAGTTTCACTCTTATATTAATTATTGTTGGTTTAAAATTTTATTTAATCAATAAATATTTTGAATAATTTTTTGTTTTATTGTTTTTATTGTTAGGGCACATAATTGTTTTACAAAATTTACTACTTAAATCACCTATATAAGATAATCACAATTCATAATATGCGCTATTATTCCACGGCTAGCAATTGGCCTCGATGCATTGGGATCGAGGGGGATTATCATTTATCTAGGGGGGGATTATCCCTCTTTATCCTGCCTCGTCTCGTGTTACTTGGACAGTCTTCGTAGGTGGGTCTCATCCGTCGTCTACTCCGACCACACGAGATATAAAATACTCAGTACATTTATCTGTTATCTAGGATTAGATATGACAAATCACGCGTGCAAAACTTTCAAATAATCCAATAATGCCCTTAGTCACGTGACGCGAGACTAGTTTCATCTCATTTTACATCATGGTCCCTTACCCTCTACATTCTATTCATAGTATACTGTCAAATCAACGCTAATTTAAGTTTTTTTTTGCGAAAGAAGTCGTTCGTATGTTGTACATAGTATGTACCTATGTGTGTGTAGTATGTACATATGAGTAAATGAAGAGAGATGATAGATGAACTACTTGCGTGGTATGTCGAACGTACTACCATATGACAATAGACTCTTTTAGTGTGATGTCACATATTTAGGCAACCCACAACAAATTGTCAACAATAGTTAAAATTGTACAGACTGAATCTGACTCTTGTGTACTATTTACATAGATACTATGTATAAAAATGAACAACTTTTTTATTTTTTACAAATCAATTTATTTTTACAAGGATTTGGAAGTATTTAAGAACCAATACATAACACATGTTTGGTAAAATACATACACTTATGTACTTACAAAACTTACAAAAAATGATATAAAAGATATTCCTAAATTTAAATAAAATAAAAATTTAACATATTAGCCGTGTTATATTCCTAATGCTCATGCTCGGAATCTCGGAAAGAATAGCCTCATTCAGGTAGATCTTGTTGATATCCTATTATTATCGCTGTCATCATTAGCGTATTTTCTCTTGTTTTGTTTAATCTTGGCAATTTCTACTCTTCAAGTGGTTTATTACAGACGTACTCTTAACCACAACCTATAGTACGATCGTATTCGATGCAAAGTAATAAATCATTGCTTGTCAAGGGAATCAGTGCAACACATTTTATAGGGGGTTTTGGAAATTGAATAATTTCTTTATGCATTATGGATTAACAGCTATATATTTATGAAGGACAAAATGAAAAACAAAGGC